AGGTCGATTAGAGTGGAAAGAAGCCAGAGAAAAGTGCTTCGTCCAACATAGTGCCTGCCAGGAATTGTTTCAGATGCCATGACTATGGTCACGTAGCCTTTAACTGCCCAACAAGCCGAGTCATCACACTCACAGATCAAGGCCGTCGTCGAGGAAGTCGATGAGGAATCAGAGGAAAGTCCAAAAGAAGAGCTTCAGCTCCAAGGAGACCGAGGAGAAGCGTTAGTCGTTTGACAAATACTGTAGTCCAAGCTAGAGCGGGACCAATCCTGCTTAAGGCATAACAATTTTCACACCAAGTGCACCGTCAAGGGGATGGTTTGCAGTCTGATCATCGACAATGGGAGCTGCAAGAACGCGGTGTTTATGCTCATGGCGAAAAAAAGTTAAGATTGGACACACCAAAACATCCCCAGTCATATTCCCTTACTTGGCTAAAGAAGGGAAACAAGATACGTGTAGATTAGCAGTGCCTACTTGATTTCTCCATCGGAGACCAGTTACACGTACAGGTATGATGCGTCGTGGTTCTTTTGGATGCCAAACATATTCTATTAGGATTGCCTTGGTAGTTTGATCTCAAGACTCAACTTGATGTGTTTAATAACACTTATTCTTTCAAGCAGGATGTGAAACAAATCGTTTTACTACCTGCTAAGGATGCAAAAGGCGGGAGTGATACAAAGGCAGCATTAGTTCCTCGTACCATTTTCCTGCAGTCAATTAGAGATACCTCTGTAACGCTAGCATCAGTCTTCTTGGAAGGAAGCGAGGAAAGAGAGTTACGAGCACTATTGCAACCATTGCTAGGATTACCGCCAATAATGGACATCCAACATGCCATAGACCTTATACCAGGATCCGTGTTGCCCAATTAAGTCCAATGAAGTTTGAAGAACTACAAAAACAAGTGCAGGTTGTGTGCAGCCCCTGTCTGATGGTGCCCAAAAAGGATGAATTGTGGCGAATGTGCATCGACACCGAGCCATCAACAGGATTATCATTAAGTACCTATTTCTCATACCTCGCTTGGATGATCTCTTAGACCAACTACGTGGAGCCACTATGTTCTCCAAGATCGACTTGCGCAACTTATATCACCATATACGAATGAGGTAGAAGTTACGTGTAAGACCGCTTTCAAGATGCGGGATGGATTTTATGAGTGGACTGTTATGTCTTTCGGTCTGTCGAGCGCACCTAACGCTTTCATAAAACTAATGAACCAGGTATTCTGACCTCACATTGGAAAGTTTGTCGCTGTCCACTTTGAAGACATTCTAATATACAACCAGTCAGAGGAGGATCACTTGCGTCACCTGAAAGCAGTATTTGAGGTGCCGTGATCTGAGCAACTAGATGCCCACCCAAAGAAATGCCACTTCATGAAAAACTACGTATGTTTTTTTGGTTACATCGTATCAAATGTAGGCATTCAGATGAATCCCGTAAAGATAGAGGTCGTTATCAGCTGGGTCGTACCACAATCATTTACTGAGCTAAGGTAATTTTTGGGGCTGCATCCTTCTATAGTAGATTCATAAAAAACTTTAGCACTATCACCTCCCCTTCAATTGAACTTCTGAAAGGGAAATTTACTTAGATAACAACAACCCAGTACAATTTTGGCACACTGAAAGAGAATGTGATTTAGGCACCCGTGCTAGTACTACTTGACTTAAACCAACTTTTTGAGGTATAATGTGATGCGTTTGGCGTGGGGATCAGAGCAGTACTAAGCCAAGGATGACATCCCATCGCTTTCTTTAGTGAGAAGTTGAACGAGTCCAGGAGGAAATACTCAACTTATAATAATGAATTCTACGTTATCGTAAGAGCTCTGGAACACTGGAGTCATTACCTTGACAAACGAGTTTACTCTATTTACAGATCACTAGACCCTAAATTTTCTCAACAACCAGAGCAAACTAAGTGGGCGACACGTCACCTCGGTGGAATTCCTAGCCTCATTCCAGTTTGTGCTAAAACACATGGCGGGAAGCTAGATGCACTGAGTCATCGACACCTATTGATCACATCAATGCATGTTTGAATTGTGGGATTCAAATTCATAAGGGATCTATATAAAACATGCAAAGATTTCAAAAATATATAAGAGCAATGTTAGGAGAAGCCAATAGGGCGCATAGACGGATACTTGTTCCACCAGAGTCAGTTGTGCATTCTCTGGTGTTCACTAAGGGAGGCCATTTTCCAAGAGGGCCATAACGGAGGACTATAAGTTCATTTTGGCAGGAACAAGACCCTCACCCTCATAAGAGAGCATTTTTTTTGGCTAAACTGATAAGAGATGTAGAACGACATGTTAGGCAATACAGGATTTGTCATATGACAGACAAGAGCTCAGAATGTCGGATTATACATACTACTTCTAGTATCAGAGATACCATGGGTGGACATAAGCATGGATTTCGTGCTAAGACTTTTAAGGACCCAAAGGAATAAGGATTCTAAAATGGTTGTATTAGACAGATACTCCAAGGTGACTCACTTTGTACGCTGTGATCAAACACTAGACACTTTTCACATCGCTAATCTATAATTCAAAGAGATTGTACAGTTGCATGGAATTCCTAAGAGCATCACCTTCGATAGAAACTTCAAATTCCTAAGCCACTTCTGGAGGACATTGTGGGGAAAGTTGGGCACCAAACTCCAATTCAGCTCAACTACTCATCCACAGAAATATGAACACATAGAGGTAGTAAACTGGAGCCTCGGTAATCTCATGAGTTCTTTCATGGGGAAAAAACATAAAACAATGGGTTTTTATTCTAGCCCAAGCTGAGTTCGCCTATCATCGATTTGTCCGCCAAACTACAGGAGGAACTCCCTTCGAGATTGTGTACGGATGCAATCCTTTCACACCACTTGAACTGGTACCGCTCGGAAATCAGCGAGGACGCCCCAAAATGAGTTCATGAGATCCAGAAGCTCCATGAAGAAGTTGGCAAAGAAATTGCTAAGTAGAACTACAAATATCAGGCACAAACAAATAAATCCAGGAAGAAAGTAACATTTTAGGATGGTGATCTTGTATGGATTATGCTAAAAGGGAAACATTTTCCATTAGATCATTCGAGAAGCTTAAACAGAGAGTAGATGGACCATTAGAGTACTTCAGAAGCTGAGTGACAACACTTACAAGATCGATTTGCTCAGGAACTGCAACGTTTCAACCACGTACAACGTCGCTGACTTGAGATCGCACTTTGAAGAGACTGGAGCTTTGACAAATGAGATCGAAGCTTCCCAAACCCCAAGAGATTGGCGCGATGCTAAACAACGCCCTAATGCGGGTGTTGAAATACCTCGAGAAAAATTATCGTGAAGACGGGAAGAGTCGTGAAGCCTCACATGACATGTGAAGTCTCACACAACAACAGAAAGAATCCCGCGAAGGTGGAAGATGCGCGAAGCCTCGCGCGATAGCTAGAAGAAATTCCCGCAAAGGTAGAAACATATAACGAAGTGTAATCACAAACCGTTGCGATCTAGGAAGGAGTATCGCGAGGCTATCACCCAGGAAGTATTTTCTGGATTCTCTTGCCTTTCCCACCCCTTCCTTTTGTGTATGAGTTTCCTTTTTAGTTCATTCCTATTTTTCTCCAATGGGTATCTATAAACTGTTGATTTCTGTGTGAAGGAGTCAATTCTGGTTGTGTAGTCTTCAGATCTCCTGTGTGAAGTCTCTTCCCCTTTTTAGGACTATAATCGATGGAGGTGGTGCTTCAGTTGTATACTGCTCTGAGGTGGTGCTGTATACTTCAATTCTCCTTCACTTCCTCTTCCCGACCCTTGTCCTACCACGCCCCTTAGCCGCCTGCCACCCCATATCCCTCCACCACACTGCCACCACTTCTACTTTCCCCTAGAACTTTGTTGTCCTGCTTACCTACAACCAACCAAATATCATTCAAACCTACTCACACAACCACCCGGCCTTCCCCACCTTTCCCTCCGTCGACACCACTACCGCCTTTGGATCTCTTCCTACACCCTTAACTAGAGATTCGTGTAGTATTGTATTTCTTTTGTTCGAGTCATGTTGTACTTTTATTTCTTTATTAATAAAAGTTTACCTTTTTTGCTTTTATTGTTCTTCCTACTAGTTTTGGTATCACTAGTCTTAATTCTAGAAGTTATATTTTCAGCCATTTTTCTAATATTTTTTTATAATAGACCTAATGTATTTAACTCACATCTATATACCAAGTTATTTTCTAAAAATATCGATGCATCATTAGTAACATCACATCTCTATCATTGAATATCTTCTCAATATTTTTGTTATCGTTATAACTGTTACTTCTTAAGTGCACGTGTCATTGATTGTTACTATATAATCTATAAGAGCATACCAAAGCAACTCACTATTAGTATCCTTTGAAGGCATCTACATAACTAATATAAAGATATGTGGAGTCGCTAATGTTATTTTACAATTATTAGTATTAGTCAATTTTCAATCATATATTTATTTGGCACACACCTTAATACCTTAATTTGTATCAAATCAATTCTAATGGTACCTGGTTATATAATTCTTCATGGTCAATAAAAATTATGAACTTGCATAATTAATCTTTTAAACCATTTTAATTAATTGTCTTAATACAAAAAATGACTTATATGCAGCCTTTCTGGCATGAAATCTAAGTGGTTCTATGAAACTGACAACTGAAAACATGCTTTTAATATATATTTGCGGCGATGATATAACTTATTTATTTTCAATTAGGGACAATTTGGACCTTTGAGCCCAATCAACTATATTGTAGAATCCAGCAACCTGACGATGGAATTTCCCATTTTTTGAACCTACCGTGTGACTGTTTTGTATTACAGTGTTTGCTTTTAAGTTTTAAATAAATCTGTAATGAGTTCAGTTTTATTTGCCGGAAACATAATAAATGCTCAATTGCATTTATGCTTTTATTGGAGTAAATGTACATCTTTCTTTTGGTGTCCCTTGACAGGCAGCTCGTGATAACATTCTTCTTGCTATTCCAGCTCTTCTTTATGCGATCAATAACTACTTGAAATTCATTATGCAGGTATATGTTTATTTGTTATTTCTATGTTTCATTGCTCTTGATTCAAGAGAATTGTGAACATGGAGCAATTACATGATTCCTTGGGTAGTTTCGCTGTTTTTTTTTATTTGACTGTGGAATCTTTGAGTTTGCGCCAAAAGCTTCTCTTTTGCTGTTTTAATTTTTTGTTTTCTTACGTTATTATTGATCAGTGGAACCTGCTTTTGCAGTTATACTTTAATCCTGCGACTGTTAAAATGTTGAGTAACCTCAAGGTACTATTCTCTGCTATAGACTCGATTCTTGGTGCTATTTTGGTATTATATTTTGAGAAGTAAATAATTATCTTATATACATGGCGAGCATGGTTGCATTTTGTCGAAGAGTGTTTCAAGAAAATATGAAAACAATTAATTATCTCAAAGCCTTCTAGAAATCGGGTAACTTCTGAACATCCTGAGGTCACATTCATTATACCACTCCGTATATTCTGCATAGTGCAGAGCTTCCCATTTTAGTCAACTTCTATGAGATGTCTTTTCATGAATGCGCCTGGTGATTTTTATTGTCACAATGCAATTCAGTTCCTTTTACTACTACAATTTTCTTATGTTTTATGGAGTGTAAAGGAAGACCAACGCCTCGCCAACCATTTCTTGAATTTCTGGCATTTTTGATACTGCAGAGAACCCAAATCACAACAAAAAAACAAATAACTCTAATATGGGTTATGGTAGCAGGTAGATTTGATGGAGGGGCTATGGCAGCTGCTTGGGACGGGCTGCTGCGGCATTGGGAAGAGCTGGAGACAGCCACAGAAGGATGGGGGAAGGCTTGGGAGGGTTGTGGTTAGGTCTAGATTGGTTGGGAGGGCTTATGTCAGGTTTTGGAAGGGTTGCGGGGGGACAACAAACTGACAGGTAGTTGGACGGGGCGGCCAACAGCAAGAAGAGGGCCAGGGAGTTGCAAAAAGATAAAATGACTTGTCAGGGTTGAGCTACAGTCAGAGCACCACCCGAACCATCACCTCGGATGATTTACAGCCGGAGCACCTTTTTGCTGTTAGGTATAGCCCCCGGAGGGGAAAAATGCGTCAAAGCCAGTAGAAAAAATTAGCAATCATAAAAACCCCACTTTCTTAGCAAAAATAACCCCTATATATATGAGGGATTATGACTTATATTAGGCAATGCTTTCAAATAAGAAATAGAATAAAAAGGAAGTAATATATAAGGCAAGGATTTATATTAGTGGATTTTATGGAAAAGAAAAAATATTATGAGAGAAAAGTAAAAGAAAAGAAAAAAGGGGGGGGGGGGGGGGGGGGGGGGGGGTTTGGACTGTGGTTGCTGTAGCTGCTACAGTAATGCGTTCGCGACATTGTAGCAACTACAATGCCGCGATTTGGGGAAGCTCCAACATCAATCTACTAGGGTTGGGGGAGCATCGACTTCATCGTCGAAGCTTTTTAGGCAGAAAATGTTGGTGGGGGTTGCCTAGCTTTGATACCAAATGATACCAGAGGTAACCCAAACCACAAAAGAAATACTAATATTATTACTTAAATTTACAATGGTTCCAATCAAAACTCTTGCAAACAGTAAATGACGACAACAAACACAATAACACCTTGTCATAACAAGAAAGGACACAACACATTCTTCAATAAGGCTTACAGTAGTAGGTAAATCTGATGGGGGGTTGTGTTAGTTGTCGGGATTCTTGGGAACGGCTGCTGCGACATTGGGAAGAGCTGGAGACTGCCACGACGGGATGGGGGAAGGCTTGGGAGGGTTGCAGTTAGGTCTGGATGGGGCTTATGGCAGGTTTTGGAAGAGTTGGGGGGAGTACGACAATGAGGACAACAAGCTGGCAGGTGGTAGGACGGAGCGGCTAGCAGTAGGAAGAGGACCGGAGGGTTGCGGAAAAAATAAATTGTCTTGTCGGGGTTGAGGTACAGTCGGAGCACCATCGGAACACTTTCAGACAATTACCACATCAGACAAGTTACAGCTGGGGTACCTTCTCGCCATCGAGTACAACCCCAGGAGGGGAAAAACGAAATGATACATGAATATGCATATTGAACAATTCAGTTGGTTAAGTTTGGTGAAAGCAGTGGGCAACTACATGATGAACAAAAATCATATGTATATCTATATGCATATGTATGCATTGTTATAATTGTGTCATATGAACATATATTTCTGACAGAAACACATTAATAAAAAAGTATCGGGTATATGTGGGAATCTAGCCATGTCAACTTTTTCATGCTTTTGGAGCCCAAGGGATTAATTGCTTGCTTGATCTAATGTCTAGATATTAATGAGAGGGAGTTAGAAAGAGAGATTTTTGTAGATAATGTAAAAGCTACGGTGGTAGTTAATGGCTTGCTGAATAGGTGTTGAGCAGCACCATTGAAAGAGAGAGAGAGAGAGAGAGTGAGTGAGATATGCTTGGCATACGATGGCAATATTTGCGTCATTCTTCTTACATTGCATTTTGATACGTCTATTCATTTTTTGTTTAGCTGGTGTGGCGATGGATATGTTAGACCATATGCAAATATCCATGAAAGTAGATGTTTTTAACTTGTGTATCTTGAGTTGTATTCCTCTGAATCCATTCATATTGCTGTGTGGTTTGTATTTGTGATGAAAATGGCAGACCATATGCAAATATCCATGATTTATTGCATAGGACCTAAAACTTAAATCCCTGCATCATGCAAAAGAAAAGGTAAGGAAAAAAAAGCCTTCCTGCACTTGTCATTCATTTTTTTTAACTTGCTATATATTTAAGTCAGCTCTTGGAATTGCATTAGCTTGGTTATTGCGTGTCAAGTATTGCCGCCTATATCCCAAATTGCATTGATCATTGAGAAGAAAAATAGAAGTTCCTACACTATTCATTCATTTTTGTACTTAATATAGTCTCGTTAGCATAGGGAATTGAACCAACTTTGTGTTCTGGATGTTAATGGGTCATTTGAGATTACTTTTATTTTTACGTTTGTTTTATTTATATTATGATTTGAAATTAAACATGTTTGTCATTTTGAAAATAAATAAATTTCTTTTTAAAATTACTCGAGATAATTTTTAGTTATTTTGACTATTTTTAAAAATAAACTAATTTATTTTTAAATACAAAAAATAAAACATTTGAAAAACGCGTCATACTAATATTTTTAACAAAAAAAAATAAAATTAATCTCAAACAGGCCCTATTTGTTTTTGTAGATAGGGTGCAAATATTATATTGTTAATCACCTAAAAATTTTTGTTCAGCTGAGAATCTTGCAGCGCAAAGCCGCTGCTGATATTCTTGAGATAGGTTGAGTGTATCAAATCTTGAACTTCTATATCTTATGAATTACTTTTCGAGTAAAATTGAAACTCATATTACCTATGAGAAGTATGTTGTACTTTATCCTTTCTATTAAAATCAAGAAGAATTTTAACTATTATAGGCGTTTAGTGATGTTTTTAGATTAATTGATCTGGTTAATTACTTTGCTACGACTGTACTATGAAAGAGTTCTTAGCAACTAAAAAGTTCTCTTTTGGTGGTTAAGTTGATGGAGCCACATTAGGTGGTTTGTCATACTCTAGATTGAGAAAGTGGTAAACTTGGCAATGCATGACATGGCGAAGGGAAGTAATCTAAACTCGTGAAACGAAGAATCGTGGAAGAGGAAATGAAAAGCCAGAAAAAGGAAGTGAAAAGTTGAAAGTGGGGAAGTTGAAGCGAGGAGAATAGCGAATGAGGAGATGAAGTGAAAGGGGTTGGAAGTGAAGTTCACCCATATAAATCATAATAGAAAACATCTTACTATTAGAGTCGAAAGAAGAGGATGCCGCAGTCTGGGAAATTGTTCAACAGAGGAGGCTGCGACGACGTCTGTGTCAAGCAAAGGAGGCGTTGAGCAACTCCAGGTGAAGGCAAGGACGATGTCCAGATGCTCTCGCAACATTGTTGAGCTTCGAGCGGGATGGCGTCGAAGCCAAACCCTCTTGCGTAGGAGGAAGATCGTCGCGTGCAAAGGGGAGAAGAAGAGTTTACGTGGATTAGGGGCTCGAGTGGGAGGATTTGTAATGGTAAGATATTTAATAAAAAAATTATAATTATAATGGATATATGTATGTTTGTATGATACAATATTCCCAAGTGTTGTAGCCTTTCTTCTGCATCACTAAGTCCTCCCTCTGGAAGAGATTTAAATTCTCATCTCTTGCTCCCCTTTGATTCTACAGATCTCGGTAGATGATATAAAAAGTATTTTATTTAATAATATCTATCATTGCATGTTATTTAGTTATATAAAAAATATATTTAATTGAACAAGATGAGTATATTAATGATATGAGCTATATAAATTGCTTGCATTTGCATGTTGACTATGATGTTCACCTTCTTATAGTACTAACGGAGGACGCTAAGATATTCATGCATATAAATGTAAAAGAATATTGATATTAATGTGTATATATAATACTTCATGTTTCATCTAATGGCGATATGCTCTGCTAGGGTTTCGCCCGATGGCGAAACCTTGATTTGATTCCTTACTCAACGATGACGACGAAGGACTCTACCTTGCAATCGTTGTCTTCTTTTTCTCGCCAAACAACGAAGGGCTTTGACATCTTCTTCTGCGGTTTCGTTGTCTCCTCCTTCGCGCCTTCCAGCTATCTTTTATGCGGGGATCAAGCTGTGATTTCGTTGCCCTGTGTTCTACGCAGCTTCGCCCCGAACTCTTCGGCTCGTCTTTTTTGCCCTCTGTCCGACTTGCAGGGCTTCTTTTTGCTGTGTTGAAGTTTCCTTCTTTTTCGGTTAAATCTGACAAAATCTTCTTTGCCCACGTGGTGGGTAATCCTCAGGGGGAGACGACAGTTGTCTTCCCTTCAAGTTATAAGAAGCATCGTGATGGTACATGTGACTGTCCCTTTACTGAGAATGCAATCAGAAAAAGTGAGAATACAACACTTTTTTTCTTCACGTCAGAAATTTCAATGCTGACTGACAAATTCAAATTTGCTCTTATTGAGAAATTTCAGTGGGGACACTCATCTATAAAAATTATCAGGAAAAGTTTTGATGACCTAGTTTTGATGACCTTAAATTAACATGAAAGTGGAAAGTGGGGCTCATGAATGGGAGACATGTATTGATTCAGTTAATCGTGCCTGAAGACTACACTCAGATTTTCTCCAGAAAATATCTTAACATCGCTGGTAAACCTATGAAGCTACTCAACTGGTTTCCTAAT